GTGCAGGCCAACTTTAATATTTGAACAAGTCCATCATGAAAATGACATCAATGGTGTACCCCAAATTAATATGTTGAAACAATCAATTAGAGCCTATCTGCTATAGACATGTTAGCGGATGTGTTTTTCATCCGGGGGGGAATTCCCTGAATCTTAGCTAGAGTGCCTTAGACTTGTTGTTATGATATATTTTGTAGATTGAACACTAGCAAGACTCTTTTTGAAATTCTCTACTACTTTCAGGAATAATGCTGGGGAGTAAACATTTATTCCAATCTAAATAAGAATACCAGAAGCATGTCTGTCACTATTCCCAGCCACGCCAATAACTAGGGATAGGGAAGGAGACGTTGATGTAGTACTTACTTCACGGGTATGGTATTAAGGTAGGATTCGCCTGAAGTTGGCGATACAACCAGAAGTATATATTGTTTATGTGTTGCTCATTTAATCCCTTTATAGTCAACTATAAAAAAAATCAAAATTTACTGAGCTTTGAGAAAAGTTCAAACCAATAGAAAACGGCTTGCTCTTTGGCGAAATGACCTTCGGCAAAACGTCCTTCGGGGAAATGTCCCGCTCCCGTTTGGTATTACCGAACGATTCGGTAATTGCTAACCAAACATTTCCGTAATAAACCATGGCCCACTTTGTTTTCCTCTGTTCGAGACATAACACCACTGCGATCAGTAATTTGATCTATTGTAGTATATCCCGTGTCCTTTTTTTACTGCATGTCGTATTACTCCATCACTATTGATAAATGATGAAGTATTCGATTTTGATACAGTTGTCATTCTTGCATTCATAGCAAGGAATCGATTCTAATTGAAAGGTCCCGCTATTTATACTCTTCGGAGTGTTGGAACACCCTCCAAAGGCGCGCCCCTTTGTCAGTCAAGATTGGATTCCTTAGCAACAAAATTAAGGAATGACACCGATAATAACCATGCATCAGAACCCTAGTCTTAACCACTTCAAACTATGGAACAACGAATAGAAGATTAGGAATCACATAGATGAAAACTCTATTAACTCATTTTTTCCTTGTTTCAAGATCATCCTCGGTGGACAAAGCCGAGTCTTATCACTATCAACAAGGCATAAAAAGTAACAAGGACTAAGATGTGTTCCTTTGATTACTGAAAAATCTTGTTCCCCTACTTTGAAGTAGTCAAGACTAGGAATCGGTGGTAGATCGAACGTAACGAACCACGAAAAGGTGATCTACCACGTTACGAGTAATGGAACAAACTCTTTTGCTTATTACAGCGCTCCTGGACGTTTTTGGGAGCTTTTGAAGTCTATTTTTTAACAACAAGAATAACAATAAAAGTGCACTTTTCAGTTCATAAAACGTTTTTTTTTAGGTGCGTGGAAAAAAAAATCGAGCACAGTCACCTGGAAAATTCATCGTGGTCCGTGTCCAATAGACTGATGCACAGTGCTTAAACGGTTCCAAATTGGGTCCGACTTGGCACAAACCATTTCAAATTTATATGGGAATTACTAGGTATGGGAAAACTTATGTTTTTGTTCATTTCTATCTAACAATTCACCACATCACTATGCTTTTAAAAATGATAGCAGTAATTATAGCAAATTTCGTAGCGGGCCTCCCTTAGCTCAGTAGATAAAGGCGCAGCTACAAAGCAAGACCATGCTGGAGGTGGCTGGGTTTGATTCCCGGTCCTGTCTAGGAATTTTTCGGGTTGGAATATTTCTCGACTTTCCTGGGCATAGAAGTATGATTGGACTTGCCACACAATTATACCAATGCAAAAACGGCACAGTCATCGAAAGCTCTCAATTAACAACTGTGGAAGTGCATCTAGAACACGAAGTTGAGATCACGCAATAAGCTAATATGCGATATGCAATAAGCTTGAAATGCGAAGAAGAAGAAGAAGAAGAAGAAAAATATGTAGCAAATTTTCTCAGCTACAACTTTGTTCAAAACCACTTTTCAATCAACTAAAGGCAACATTGGTGTTTCTGATGCGAAGAATAGAGCACAAATATCATGGCTATCCATTAGTACGTTCATCTAGATAAAAAAGCAGATTTTTAGCGATGGGCCCCAATCTTAGATCCATAGGCCAACATTAGAGCCATTTCCCCTATATGAGTTTTATAAAACTCAGAATGTTTTCAGAAGCGAATTCTGCCCTTCATCCAGAACATGATTGGTCGATGACATTTTGGCCAGATCTTGCGAGTTGTCACTACAGCCGGGTAGTACATCAATGGTACAATGACAACGGAGTCCAGTTTGTTCCGAAAACCCTCAATCCATTCAATTGTCCCCAGTTCAGGCCCGTTGAAAACTACTGGAAAATTATGAAGACCTGAAGGTAAAAGGTACAGTCATCAAAACGGCAACTCAGATGAAAAATTGGTGGGATAAAATCGCAAAAACAGTGGACGAGACCGTTGTTGAATTGTGATGAGTCGTATTAAGTGAAAAGTTAGAGAATTCCTTCAAAACCACGACGAATAATTCGTTTCGTATTTTGTTTCTTAAAATATAAGGAATAGTATGCAATTGAGTGTAACCTGTTTTAAAATCCGTTAATTCAAATCCGAAATAGATCCAAATTATGTTTTTCGTAGCTTTTTTCGTAATAAGTTCACACAGCTAATTATTTATACGATTTTTTTTTCTTTATTATCGTGATTTTTAGCGGTAGGTTAGTTCATTACCGAGGGGCAGCATAACCACAAAAACACCTTGCATACGGAGGTATTTATTGGATGAAAAAGACCGTGAGAGAGGACACTCAAAAGATTTTTGACTGTTTCGTCTCAGTGTTCTTCTTTAATAATACTCTATGTCCTGGATATCTGAGAAAAATGTCCAACCCGTAAGATTAGAATAGACCGTGCCTTTACTGACTAGGCTGCCCCGTAACGTGGGTAGATCAACTATTCATGGTACGTTACGTGATATAAGATCTACCACCGATTCCTAGTCCTGACTACTTCAAACTAGGGGAACTGGATTTGTCCGTAATCCAAGTCTTAGACCTTGTTACTTTTTATGCCTTGTTAATAATGATAAGTCCTCGGATTGCCTTGACCGAGGATGATCTTCAAGTAAGGAATAAATGAGTAGTTAGTCTTCATCTATGTGATTCCTAATCTTTTTTTTTTTTTTTTTCTTTGTGGTTGTCTTTACAGACGGCTAAGACCATAGTTTGGTCCATCTCGCCGATTCCTAATATTATATACGTTGTTCCCTAGTTTGAAGTGGTTAAGACTAGGGTTCTGAGGCATGGTCATTATCGGTGTCATTGTTTAGCTCTAATTTTGACTGACAAAGGGGCACACTTTTGGCGGGTGATCTCACCTTTCAAATATAATCGTTTACTCTAAACAGGGGCCGCATTGCGCATCTCGAAACGAAAAACTTTTTCATACAAGCGTTCGTACAAAAAGTCTTTCTTTCGAGATGCACAATGTGCCCCCAGAACTGATAGGACAAGGAACTGTAGATAATAATTAAATATCAAAAGAACTAAAGTTGAAAAGAGACACATTATTTTCCAATGAAATGAAAACATGTAAACCACATAAATACAAGAAATAAAAATCATTTAAAGTAAAAAAAAAATAGAATCGGTTCCTTGTGATGAAGACAAGAACGAAAACTGTATCGAAACTGAATACTTCATCATTTTTCAATAGTTATGGAGCAATACGACATGCACTAAACTAAGGACAGGATATACTACAATAGGTCGAATTACTGGTCGCAGTGGTTTTATGTCCCGAACAGAGGGAAACAAAAACTGGCAGAAAGCCTTGACGCCCCAGATAGTCGTTCCTTTAAAAATAAATATATAAATAGGATAATAGATATTCTTTGCATGCGTGAAGCATGGTGAGTAACATGTAGCTGTCTACTATTTAAAATCACTAAGGAATTGCAAAAAAGAGTCAGGCAATTCAAAGCCGGTGATCTATTCTGGGCCAAGTATGTTCATCTGGATAAATCTGGCTGCTTTTCATTCTTCTTCGCAGGTTCTTTATTCGCTCCTGCAGTCCCCGTTGACCATGCTAAATCACTACAATAGGTTCTGACAGTATTTTGGTGACATTTAAAACGAAAAAAAAAACAATCTTAAACTTGAAAATCAACAAATTAGCGGTTGGATACAAATATAATCAGTTCAGACTGATTGGATTGCCGCACATTTGAATCGGGCGTTATAAATTTTTGAGCGAAAATTAAGTTTATATTTCATGTAGGTTTGTCAGTGTTTTTACGACCGACGCGAGAAAATGTTGGAAGAAAATTAACATGGCAAAAATTTGCTATTTTCATATATATTGGACGAATTCTACGCCGTTGTTCAGATTTAGTATTATTTCTAAATCAAATTTTGATCCAATCAATGCATAAACACTACTTATCCATGACATGATTAAGGTCTAATCTATCTTTGTTTAGTAACACTTTTGAGTGATACTACGTCAGATTATGGAAATGCTGATGATCTCCATAAATGCATGTTTTTAGAACTGGTTCAAACTGCCAAAAAGATGAGTTCCCGGCTAAACACATATGATTTCCGTGACCGTGACATACCGTTCTTCTGACTCATAATAGCCACATACAATTATCACGAACATCACATAACTTTGCTAATTAACAATACTAGCAAACTTATCTATTCGTTTCATTAACACCTTTTGCTTCTAATATCATTATACGCCATAGCGTACGACAGTAGAATCGACCCAAAATAGTATTATATAATAATATAAAACAGGATTTTGACATAGTTTTCTTCGCTTGTTGCCCTTGACAATGTTATGTATTATCGGTGCAAGTTCAATTCTGGTTTTCCATAAGGCTGTTTTCTACTGCTATGAGAGTAATGCGCATTTGCTATTCGATATAATATTGAACGTGTGAATTACAAGAATACATAAACTTAGAAAACGCAAACAATCCCTACCATTGGCACAAATAACCGACACGAAATGTGATAATTTCTACACATTATATATAATCTGCAGTGCTCAGGCATTCATCATTTAGTTTTAATCCGTAAACCACATCAGATCAAAATGTTCAAAACTGTAGGTAATTCACTAATACAGCCTTATACATATTCTAACAAAATTGTTCTTCAACAGATTTGTATACTTACACTGACGCTAACCAGTGTCATTAGTGTCCCAGTGGAATCACCAACTGATTCTAAAGGTTTAAATCGACCTTCACCAATCAACCCAGATGTAATAAGTGATCCAAAACCACAAGATGTATCCACCAGTGTACCACCAAGTTCACCGGACGCAGGAAGCCATATTCAAAAAATTCCAGCCAAGGGAGAAAAGCTAAGCTCCGAATTGGACCAGCATAAACAGACACACAAGAGAGAAACAACATCCGAGAATGCCGTATCCAAACCAGCTTTCAGACGAGATCAAGCTACTAGTACATCTACTGTTGCTCCCAAACATTCAGTCACTACGACCCATGAACCTGTATCTCTTAAAACTCCCGTCGTTCACTCATCGAACACAAAAGTAAAACGCGAGGTCGAATCTTCTAATGCAACAACAACAACCCGTGCTCCAGTAATTAGTAGTAGCAACGATGACAACGATAACAGTGCCCCACACTTTGTTCGACCAGTTCCTGTGGAGCAGATTCTGAAAAACATTCACGATGCACCGAAGCACCATGAACATTCACAGGTAGTTTCACTACATGATCATGAGACCGAGCACGTGACACCATCTATCCCAACTACCGCCAGCCCGAATGGCGATGAAACCAAAACCGTGGATGATCACAAGGTACATCGTGTTTCGCTACATAAGAAAAATAATTCTGATAATAGCAAGTCTTCTGAAGAAGACAAGTCCTCTGAAGAGGGCAACAAAGATCAGTGATTCAAATAACGTACTGAAAATGTGATATATTGAATAAAAATGTAAACTACATAGCATATTTTGTACAAATGATTTTGATATGGTGATATCGAGTACTTATTTATTCAACCAGACAACTGCTTTTTCCCCATGACTGTTACGTCCTAACTGGAATTGTATTGCAGCCTTCAATATAATGTTCTAACGGTTGAGCAGTTCCAGGTCAAATGACGAATCGATCAGACTCGACGTTCTCCGATTTGCATGAAACTTTCACACAATCATTCCCATTTCTGATAATATCGAGGATACTATTTTAATAGCGTTTTGACAACATTAGCAAGCGGCAAGTCAATTGATCAAGTCAGTTGAATTCAACTGACTTGAACGCGAATTGAACGTGTAAACCATGCCATTCAACTGACTTGACCAACTCACTTGAATTGAAAAAAGTTGAACCAGGCTCAACTTTTCAAGCCAATTGAATTCAACTGAGTTGATCATTTGACTTGCCTAGTCTAAACCCAGCTTAAGAGGGATAGGGTGCATAATGAGTCACGCCAAGAGTGAAGCCAGGTCCATGGTAGGTATACATGGTGATACAGCTTTGGCACTATGTATATGGGCGAGATTGCGGGGGGGGGGGGGGGTTTGTGCGGTTTTAGAGCAAATTGTAAACAAACTCGGTCGCTGTCCCATACAAAAATCCAACATGGCTGAATTTGACACATTAGAACACCTACCTACATATCTACCTATTGATCTGTCAAACCAGCTATTTCGTGCAAAGTAAACAAACATTACGATACTATGAAAGCTCCACGAAAAGTATTGCAATTGGGAGATTGCCGTAAAAGCTCGACGCAGATGTCGCCACTGCATGATGATGATAATGTTGACAGACTGCATATAAAATTCGTGAAAATTAGCATTCAATTATAATTTTCATCAATCCTGCGTTAAATCCTTCAAATATAACATTCGAATTGAAGAAGAAAATGTTTTCACGATCAGACTGATGTGCATCTTTGACTTTTCCAGATGAACTTTCATAAGATATATTCATTTCATTTCACAGCTCCATCCACGCTGCATCGTACATATGATGTAAACAGAAGTAAATTGCTCAATTACTCAAAATAAAGATGATTTGTCATCTTGTTATCACTTTATAAACCATCGAGCACCATTTTATAGTATGGTGCGTGTTGAGTAAATCAAGTTCCGTTGCGTTTTCCGTCGAAAATTGTGAGAATGAATATGTTTGCCTAAAAAAGGCCAAAATGAACATTTATTGAATATCGTCCTATACAACCATTTCTCCATTATCACCAGCATGATACAATTTGTCCTAGGTAAATTCACTTAATTTCCACTTTCATCCTAGTGGAAATCGCACATATTCACCATTTTCCGAAAAATGCAGCTGCGCATTAGGTAACCTCTACCTGTGGGCACAGAGAACAGACATGGAGGCTCGAACAAAATGCTAGCGCTACGTAACGGCGACGTTTCCACTTAACTTTACACAAGTTTCTGATCGAACTTGGACGTCTGTTCTCTGTGATATGTGTACACATAAAAGCCAAGTGTAGCCACACATACTATTTATTTGACTCATAAATTTCATGTGTGCTCCTAGGTGGATTATGTTTATGTGCGGTCACATGAAAATCATGTGGAATTTTACATGGAAATTCGCCAATAAAAATGTGTGGGATTCTATTAGTGTACAGTTGTGTTCGATAAGATAGCAGCGCATGCCGATTTTCATACAAAATGGTCAACTTTGACATGATGTAACTTTGTTAACTTATGATGAATTGAGCTGAAACGTTCGCCAAAGAACTACAAATATGTTCAATTTAACGATTAAAAAATATTAAATTTTTGGAAGCACTTGCCGGAAAGTGAGACACCAGGTAAAATTATTGTCAAAGTTGACCATTTTGTATGAAAATTGGCTGCGCTGCTATTTTATCGAAAACAGCTGTATTAAGCGAGAGTGAGTGCCAGTCAGATTACCGAAAATTACTCAGATTACTTTTCAATTAATGAATATTACTTTATTACTTTTATTACTCTCGATTGCCGAAATTACAACGATTACTTGAATAATTTTATGGATTAATCAATTATTCAATTATCAACAATGTTTCCAACGATGGAATTGTTAGATATATACGACGACATCCAAGCCTCGATTAATAAAAATGAGCTGCACAGTAAAAAACAAAACTTATCATGTTAAACTCACACAGCAAAAAAAAATGTAATATCGATCAATGTAACTCAAGCTGATGTATGAAATAATGATGTAATAGCAAAAAGCAGATGCAATATTACATCAATGGATGTAATTTTGTTCGCAAAATCGATGTACATCGTACAACGCTATATTACACAACCGATGGATTGACTTGGTTGCAGCAGTTTGGATGTAATATTCAACCACTTTTTTTTTTCTGTGCACAAACTGAGTTTAATAGTACGTTCATGCCTTGTTCAGACTGGAGAGTTATAACATGTTATAACGGTTGTCAAATAATTGCAACACAGAAACCACCATCAAGATAGCGCTATAACATGTTATAACTCTGTAGTCTGAACGTACTAAGGCTCTGAACCATTTGGTGGATTATTTTAACTTTTGGTTAAAATTTGACAGATGAAAAGTTATCGATTAACCCTGCTATCCGAGCATGGTTATTTCTGACAGACAAGAAGTTAAATTTTGACAACCGTGGCTCGAAAACCGGCCGATCGACAGCACGGGGATTTTCGAACATAGAAAATAACTTTCGAAATGTCACTTTTAACCACGAGTTAAATTTAACTCGGCAAATGGTTCACAGCCTAAGGCTCTGAACCATTTGGCGAATTATTTTAACTTTTGGTTAAAATTTGACAGATGGAAAGTTATCGATTAACCCTGCTATCCGAGCGAGGTTACTTCTGACAGACAAGAAGTTAAATTTTGACAATTGTGGCTCGAAAACCGGTCGATCGACAGCACGGGGATTTTCGAACATAGAAAATAACTTTCGAAATGTCACTTTTAACCACGAGTTAAATTTAACTCGGCAAATGGTTCACAGCCTATAAAGTTTAATTGAAAAATCGGTATTTGAAAGCTTTACAGTAAATCAAGAGCAAATTTTCATTATGTCGTAAGTAACATTCGCACCAATCCGAGAAAAATAAGGTTTTGTTTTGAGGACCGAAAAGTTATTCCTATTTTCAAGTAAACACATATAATCTCATAGAGATAGCAATGTTTAACATATTTAGCAGGGTTTTAATCATACAAATGCAAATCGCTAGCTTTCATGCTAAAAAATACTGGTTTTGGAGTCAAAAGTTATTATACGTCGTTTGGTGGCCCCTATTGTTACTTAAGTCAAAGTGTATTTACCAGGATATTCGGGAGAATTATCAATTACGTCTCCATACGTGCATCCCATTCATCATTTTAGGACCACCGAAATCATCTTAGCAACAAACAGTTCGATTTATTCACTTTAATAATGAGAAAGCGAAACGACGAACGTACACTTTTCACGGGTTTCTCAGCACTGTTACTTAAGTCAAACGGCATCTCCATAGAAATTGGGTGACTTAAGTAACATCGAAAACTATTTTGATCGGAAGGTGATTACGTCGAAAAGTAATTTGACTGGTAAATAAATTTAAAAATGGGGTTTGATCCTATATTCGGACAGTATATAGTGTAATAGCAGGGGAATCGATTGACACTGATAGCTCGACTTTGTTTACCTTTGTTACATTCGACGTAATGAAAATTTGCTCTTGATATGTTGAACATTGCTATCACTATGAGATTATTTGTGTTTAATTGGAAATAGGAATAACTTTTCGGTCATCAAAACAAAACTTTATTTTTCTCTTATCGGTGCGAATGTTACTTACGACATAATGAAAATTTGCTCTTGATTTGAATATAGCGAGACTCGTTTGTTGTTTTTGTTTTGATTTGCACGCTTATTCTGGTCAACTCAAAATTGAGTCAAATGTACTCATCTCAGCGGCAAGTAGGGCTACTCAAAATTGAGTAGCCTTATGTTGACTCACTTTTGAGTAAACGACGTTCTCACGTGGACTGATTCAAATCCACTCAGCGATATTTTCAGTTGCGGGGGGGTTTTTGTTTTGATTTTATTTAAGGAAATGAAAATTCAGTGCCAACATTTCAAAGGGGCGTAAGTACATTTGTAAACAATGGCTTTCCCGCATAAACGCAAACCATAAATTGACCTTACCTAAAATGGTTAAAAATTGTTTATAATCCCTGCTAAACTTTAACTGAAATGGTTATGGAACTTTACATGAACGTTTAATGATAAAGTTTCAACCTTATGTATTATGGTTTTTTGGAACTGGACCTTACAAATAATGGGTTGTTAAGAACCATTACCATTCCAAATTCTTGTTTTCTCCATACATTTTCAGAAAGAGAACTATATAAGAACGTTTTTACTTATGATTTGAGAACATTAATCGTAATGGTTATGGTAGTCAGTAAGGTCCATCAATGGTTTTGTATTATCGCTCAACTTTACGTGGAATATATCGTGAATTGGTAATCAGTAAATTACAGGCAACCAATTCGCGATATATTCCACATAAAGTTGATTGATGTTACAAAACCATTCGTGGACCTTACTGACTACCATAACCATTACCATTAAAGTTCTCAAACCATAAGTTAAAAGGTTCTAATATAGTTCTCTTTCCGAAAATGTATGGAGAAAACAAGAATTTGGAACGGTAATGATTCTTAACAACCCATTATTTGTAAGGTCCAGTTCCAAAAAACCATAATACATAAGGTTGAAACTTTATCATTAAACGTTCATGTAAAGTTCCATAACCATTTCAGTTAAAGTTTAGCAGAGATTATAAACAATTTTTAACCATTTTAGGTAAGGTCAATTTATGGTTCGCGTTTATGCGGGTTAGCCGTCGATTTCTCGCGAATAAAAGCACACTCATGAAAAATAATCACACCAGCAGGTAGGGGAATGTTTCCTCTACCAGCTAGCATTGTAATTTTGGAGAGGTAAGATTTCATTCGCGAGAAATTGACGACTAAAGTCATTGTTTACAAAAGCAATTACGCCCCTTTGAAATGTTGGCACTGAATTGTCTGCTCCGGATTCATTCTACCGGTTCAGAAAATGGTTCAACACCATTGCCCTAAGCAATTTCTACTTACCTGAAGGAATTTCCGCCCGTTTTGAGTGAAACATTCACCCGTTTTCTAGGACGTTTCCTCCAACATGGTTGACATTTTTTCTAAGTCCAGGATTTCGCTGACTGAGTGACTTTTACTCAGTTTGACATTTCTCGTTTACTCAGTTTTGACAACTCGATACATCGGACGAAAGTGAGTACGATCGACGCACCCGGTGAGTAAACTGAAGTTAGCGTGCACCATCCAGTGGATTACTAAAAATTTTCATTTAGTTTTTTGTTCAGTTCTGCTATATGCGAAGCGGAGGAAAAGGCGTGTTTGATTCTATATTTTCAAAAAGAACAAAGTATTTCTAAAAGAAAACTCCGAATTGCGATTGAACATAATGGCTTATTTAAACCACTGTCGCCTGTGCTTGCAATTGATTCCAGATCCACTTACCGCCGCTAATATTTACACCAAGCTATCGGATGGTATCCCTCTGGCGGAACATTTGGACACGCTTTTTGATGTTTTGGTATTGATGATTTTTCAGTAATTGAACAGGGCAGTACAAGATAACAATCGCTAAATTACAGGTTGGTGATTACAGCGATGGTGACGATTTGAAGTTGTTGTGTTCGCAATGTGTGGTAAACATTACGAAGTGTGCTACGGGAGAAGCTTCAGACGCGGAGGCAGAAGCTATCGGACAAGGGTTTCTGAGCATGGAGGGTAATGCGCGCATGTTTGTCCGCGGTCAAAAGTTGCAGAATAGCAGCAGTGGTTTGAATGCTTCAATAAATTCACCTTTCGGAATGACCACTCCGAAAGCTGGTGTTACGCGTCCAGTTGTTTCTGCATCAACAGGGAATAAACGCTCCGCAACGGATGCAGTATCTATGGACTGGCTGCTAAATCAACCACCATCTACGAGCGGCACCAGCAGATATGACCGCTCACAGAAGAAAATTGTTGTCCGTGAGATACAGCTTGATGAAGACGATGACGACGATCGTGAAACTGTGGTCAAGACCAAATGTCCTTTTTGCAAGATGACCTACATACGACATACAGCTTTGGTCAAACATATTGAAACAATCCATCCTGAAAAAGACGTGAAGTTTAAGAAATGCGACTGGTGCGCAAGAAGCTTCCTGAATGCTGCCGAATTAAAAGCGCATCAATGCCCCAGGGCGAGCAGTGGACGCGGTTGGTACTGGCGTCGTCGAAGCTGGTGGTAAACGTGGCTTGTGTTTGAAATGTACGTTGATTTTCTGCGTAAATTAACCTTTTGATATAAGCATACCTATGCTTCTTTGTTTGCTGTACGTTACAGCATTAACCTTGAATTCAACCAATGCTATTTTAATATCCAACGTATAAAATAATTACTTTTCGTAAGAATCTCTCTCGATAAAGAGCACAACTGTCATTATCGAAATAATAATAATAATAAAAAAACTACACATTTTTTTACTATCCCGACCAACCGTTCGTGAAACTTCTGCAAAGTTCTTTATACAGAAATAAAGATTTATGTCGGCAATTCTTTACTTTAAATTTTACCATTGTAGTTCTTCAAGTTAACGTCTATATATTTAATAACCCGTGATAGCATGCATGAGGAAAATTGATACATTTTTGACCTCTATTACACCTACATGGATGACTGGTTGATGGTTATGACAAATAAATATTGAATTCATGTATGAAAAGATTTACAGAAATTTCAATACACCACATACTAGAGTGTGTTTGCCTGTCGTTGATAAGCTCATCAACAGCAACCGTGGACCCGAGGATTAGCAACCAACAACGAAATCAGTAGTACACCCCAGATGGCATGGGATCGAAACTAGAAATTATGCAGATAAAAAATCACAAATAAAATCAGCAGTTGTGTACCGATATTTTTGATTTTACAACAGAAATCGATATATTGATCTGACAACACAATCGATATTTTAACATTGGTAACGATTGGTAGCAATATTTTGACAAAGATCTTTTTAAAAGATTCACGATTAGACTTTGATGCTATAGCATCTTTACATTATTCATGAAATGGTGACGATCGCTATCGATTTTTCTTATGAATGGCTTTGAAGATCGATGTATAGAAAAATGTCAATTACTCAAAATATAGCAAAAAGTAGCAGTCAATTTTTTTACAGTGATTAGTGTAGACCTTGCTGGGTAAAATAACGACTCAGTTCAACAGGCAACTGCAGGCATTTTCATATAACATTATTTCAAAAACGGCGCCGGTGGTGTAGTGGTAAGCGTGATTACCTCTCACCCCAGCAGGCCTGGGTTCAATCCCAGTCGGCGAAGCCGGGATGTTCTGAGGCATAACATCTCTGATCACGCCTTCCTTCGGATGGGAAGTAAAGCCGTTTTTCCCTGGTTCATGAGTTGATGGGTCGATAGGTAGGGTCCAGGTGTGGGAGCTGCCTTCCTGGCACGTCGGTAGCATTGGTGCTCAGCACGGAAAACAAGATCGACGGAAAAAACAAACCAAAGGAAAAAAAAAAAAAAACATTATTTCAATATTGCATACAAACTTAGAAAAATTGATGTAAATTTAGATGCTCTGAGACTGACATATACGAGCGTCAAATTTGACATAAAATTGAGTCATAACAGACGCGAAATTCAATTCAATCAAACGTAGTCTTCGTCGAGTATCGAACTTTTCAGTCTCGGAGCCCTTAATTTTACATGACATTTGTGTTTACTTCTCATACTTTATGTCAAAGATTGTTTCCAACACGTGTAAAATTAATTATTTCTAAGTTTGTATGGTAAATTCGTTCAAGTTTGTTGAAATTTTGCTTTTTTGTGTAAAACATGATAAATTGTTATTGATCTGAATAGATAAACAAACAATCAGAAACACAAGCACAGAAGCACGCTGATTCTTTACTAACGCAACCCAAACAAGTGCAATAACTGGTATTAATGAAGAATTAATTTACCAATGCGATACAATGATACAATTCTTCGTACGTTGTCTTCCGGATTTTCGATCAACATAACAGCATTTCGAAATTTTGCTGAAGAAACTGCTCGTCTTTATGTTAGCCTTTATAAATGGTATCTAATGCCAGCCTCTGTCCATAAGGTTTTAATCCATGGATCGCAAGCAATCCAAATTGCATTGCTTCAAATTTTTATGTTAAGCGAGGAGGCTCAGGAAGCCAGAAATAAAGACTTCAGAAAATTTCGGGAACGATACAGTCGCAAAACAAGTCGAAAGGACACTATGGAGGACGTTGAAGGATGGACATTTTAAACCAGCAGTTAAGTCTCCTAGTAATCTATTCAGGGACCTCCCTTAGCTCAGTCGGTAAAGGCACAGCTACAGAGCATTTGCCGTAAAAACCATTCGGCTAGGATGCTCCGTTCAAAAGATAGACTCTAATATGAAACTTTCAAAAGATGGCGCTTTTAATATTGAGCAACTTTGTAGAACATTGTATCGCTGTAGAAAGCAAACCAACGGCGCTAGAGGTTTTGGCCACGCGAATGGCTTCGCTGCCCCACTGTGCGTCGCTGAGTCGTAATTCACACAGTACGTTTTTAACGATTTATTGATCACTTTAAACCCTATAACCTTAATTCGAATCACATTATCCGTTTCAAGCCATAGGTAATCCAATGGCATACTGTATAAAAAAAATTGCAATTTTTGGTGCAATTTTAAAATATGTCTATATGCACCATAGCATGCTATAATAAAGAATGGCATGAAAATCCAATTGAAAACATTTTAGCGTGTGAAATAATATTTAAGGGGCTATTTTTTCAATTATAGTACAAAAATAGTTAAAAATCTGGCAAAAACTTTCAAACCTCCTGGTAGAATGTGCATATAAAGTTTTTATACGGCCGTTCAATCTTACGGTAGACTGTGCGTGTGTTTGTACCTGACGTTTGTTTTCTTTTGTCGAGTTTTTTTTTATATCTATAATCGGTTGCTGATCTGGCCATAACCAGGTCCAAGAAACAATTTCTAGTTCCTCATTCTAGTTTTCTATTATTTGCCGCTGATAATCTGTTCCGAAGCCAAGTAGAACCTCCACGAGGCGTCCCATCATTAGTTCCATCATTCGTTGAGTCGCAGCGTTGAACCTGACTATTCTAGAAAAGGCTGGAATTAGGGCGTAACAGCTCAAGCTTGCCCACTCAAATCAACGTCACCATCGGATAGAGGAAGACTTCCCCTTCCCGTTGGTTATGTTATTTGACGTGGGCGTGCCTTGAGTTTGAGAAATCATCGAGAGAAGTCATTGTTTACAAAAGCTGTTACGCCCTAATTCCAGCTCTATCAAGTATTGGCCACGAATAGGCTTGTCAATGCACATCAAAAATCGACTACATACACCCGAACATTTGTTTATCTCAAATCGAAGGAAGACATTCCGCGCAACTACCATAAACCGGACTAGTTCACGTTGATCTTCGTCAACAATTTGGAATTCTACATCAACACATGTCAGGCAGCCTTCAGGTTCAATTGGCTAAACTTGGTGAGTTCGTTCCTTTTTGTAAATTTTTATCTTTTCAAACCAGTAACGTTGGGAGATCACCTTTTTGTGGTGCGTTACTGGTATAAGATCTACCACCGAACCCTAGTCGTGACTACCTATAGAGCTATAAAATGGTTTGGAATTGATAAATAGATAGTTCCATAAAAGCAATAAAAAAAATATGTATATTAAGCTGTTCTGTAATATAAAACTGAAATATAATATCAAATAACAAAAAACAAGTGATAAATTACTAATTTCATCATCTTTTCTGGGGAATGGTACATTCTGTGGAATGCTTTTCTGGGGAATGGTGCATTCTGGGGAATGTTATAGAAACACTATTACTCAGATGAAAAAAAATAGGTTACTCAGCGCTGAGCGACCTACGTTTTTAGAGTCTCTTTCATCTGAGTAGAAGTTTACTCTCTCTCTGTCTCTCTCTCTCTCTGAGTGAGATTGAACCAGTGAGGCCCAGATAATTTGTCGTCTCTTTTGTTCTTCCGCTGTTTAAATGGATGACGAAGTTTGACGTCATACTCAGTCAACCATTTAAACAGCGGAGGAACAAAAGAGCCGACAAATTCTCTGGGTCTCACCTGTTTACAGCTCATTGAGCTTGAACGAGCGTGTATCAGTTTTTTGGATTTTATTTACCAAAATCTTACGTGTCATTTCAAGTAGACGATACTTTTTCGTGCTATGCTTTATTGGAAAAGTGATGCTAGTCAAAATGGCCGAATTTCAACACAAATTTGAATGATTTCCCATAACGAACAATTATGCAATGTTTCATGCACTCAAAAAATTTCACACGTCATCATCATGTGCCTCACACTTAATTTTGCGCTTATTGTGAAACACATCCATTTCATGTGTGAATCTTATGCTTTGAACCATGCCGCAAAACTATTGGTTCGAATTGTGACGCACTTGGATTCTATGTGCCTCACATGATGATATCAATAGCTTTGTACATCATAGTTCAATGCTCTACAATATTCTACTTTATCGACTTCTACTTTACCGACTCACGGGCTTTTAAAAATGATAGCAGTGATTGTAGAAAATTTTCCCAGCTACAACTTTGTTGAAACCCACTTTTCAATCAAATGTAAGGAACAAAAGTTATTAATGATTCAAGTAACTGATGTCTTATGATTATGCTCATTCAACTGTTCAGCAGGCAACATTGGTGTTTCTAGTGAGAAGAATAGAGCACAAATATCATGGCTACTATGTCACACTGCAGAATACAGTGTTGCTAACAGAACAGCTGCTTGATCATGCCATAAGATTATCAATCTCTTAAACAATTAATAACTATTTAATTTGACATTTGGCTGAAAAACGATATTCCGCAAAGTTGTAGCTTAGAAAAATTCCCATAAGAATAGTTATAGAACTTTTCGAAAAAGCAATATGGAAAATGGGTAGTAGACAATGAACAAAAAAATTGGTTTTCCCATAGTAATTTACATATAAACTTCGAATAGTCTGTGCCAAGTCAGTTTCTTACCAAATGAGTTTAAATTTTGGGAGGCTAATCAGGACCTGATTTGAAACCGTTTGAGCACTGTGGAGCGAAAATTTCAAATTTTGCATCAGTCTGATACACATGCCTTTTAATTAATGGGTCTGATTTGGGAATTGATCCTGAACTGTTGGGGTGTGCTGCTGCAGTTGTCTTCGTTCGATCTCACTGGTCCATGGTTGTTCTCATATATGAAGCTGGTTGGCAAGTATGAAGTCACAACTCATGTTTTCAATGTTTACCTTGCAGAACAAGCATTTCACACCGCATTGAAATGCAAAACACTTCAAATCCATCTGTTTTGAACAGTAGTGCGATTCAATATGCAATACACTTGAATTGATAGAGAAAGATTGTCAACATTTCAAAGTTTGAAACACAAGAAATTAACGTGTAGAACACATCAGTGCTAACATTTGAAAACGGCGCAAAAGCTATTTGTAAACAAATGGTTCGTGGGCCCTTTACTCGCTACCCGAAGAACGCCCACGCAAACCAACAGCATCGTCAGGAAGGGGAAAATTTCCCCTACCCGATGTTGCTGTTGTGTCGCGTGGGTGTACTTCAAGTAGTGAGTAAAGGGCCCACAAACCATTTGTTTACAAATGGCTTTTGTGCCGTTTTTAAATGTTAGCACTGACATTGAACCATGGTGAAATACACTTAAAATAAATGTGATTGTGCATATAAAATATCAAGTGTTCAAACAGTTAGATCAGACGTGTGTAGTTTTTTGAGTGTGGGAACTGGAGAGGGTAAAGTTTTATCGATTCGTCAGTTGGCGTGGAGTTGCTCTTCATTGAAACATGAGGGTTTTTTTCCGGGCATATTGTAGCATAATGATTTGTGACGGTGATAGTTCCAAAATGGTAACTTTTTCTGGAATATAGCTCTTCCTCTATAGCCATGGGACGGACATATCAATAATACGTGGAACGTTCGGATTTAAAGGTTCACAGCAAACATTTACTCTTATTATTGCCTTACAGCGGTATTTTTTTTATTGTTGATTCTCATTCTTTTTTTCTTTTACTGTAAGTTGACGATTTTTCATGCGTTTATAATCATGCATTCTTCCGTATCTTAGTGTTGTATGTGGTTTTATCTGTTTATTTGCTTGTCTTATAAGTGGGTGTATATATTTTTGTGTTACCATATCACGCTTTTTCACTTGGGTTTTACGTTTCGTTACTAGTTTGATAATATGTTCACATACTTTAATAAAGTCACTACTACACTTATATCCTTTTTTCCATTGAGTAATCATATTCGCTTATTATCATGCAATCTTGCCTGTCGCCACGTGTTCCTTCATTTTGATTCACCTTGTTTAATATTTAATAATATCTTTATGTACGCTTTCTGTATGTACGAGTGTATGAATGTTACGAAGGTGTATGATTATGAATGCTATTATCATATCGGTTTATCTAAAAATATATAGTAAACTTTCCGCGTTCCGCTTTGTAGCATTGTATTTTTGCTTTCAATTTCGTTTGATTTTTCCACCATTTGATTATTTTGGTAAATTCCTAGAGAGACGCTAATACTCAAAGCCTATGAATATTTACTCAGTGTTTGGATTGTTAATCGGAAAAATATGTTCGATTTGCAAGTACACTCTCGCTTTAACGTCGATTTCAGTCGAAACTGCCACTTTCATCCTATCACGGGAGGTCATCACGTGAGTAATATTCCTTTGTTTACTTTTATGGTTTAAGTTAACACTATTATTGATAATGTATAAATGTTTACGACTAGCATTTTACTGTTACCATTAGAGATAGTTTTTTTTTTAAATAACTTAAGTTACGCACGATTGAATTAGATTTTCGCTTCGAGGTATCGCTACTACGTACCTTGCATGTTTCATTCAGTTAATGAGAAAAAATTACGTGAATATATCATATACACTGATAACACTGCTTAAGATCATGAATCAGTGTTTCATCGTTGAATTGTTTTAAAATTAAACACAAGTCTTAAGCTCTTTGGCTTAAAATGTAGCATAATTAATCTGCCATCATGCTTTCAAGTATTACTTGACTTGGCTACTAAAAAAACTATATTTCAACCCAGTACAATCCCAGTTTGAAATCGAGCTATGCTTTAAAATTGAAACAATCAAAATGTTTTTAATTAAAAATTCATTCTTTAAAAATGTCTCAGTCCTGATGTTTACCATTGACATTTGTTTCTTACTTGCTTTCAATACTCAATTGGTTAAAACCTATCAGACGCATCAGTTAAAATCAATTAAAATTAGTTCACTTCGTATTTGGCAATTTCATTGAGCGTTAATTGTTGATTTTTACACGTGTATATTGTTTTCTCACCATTTTTCGACGATAGCAATGATTCAATAATGGCTTTTCACTTACTTGACCCGTCAGTTCACATTGTGTTCGCTATTTGATTAGTTGGAAACGTGAATGGATTAACGTAAATTTGAATTTGACTTAAGGTTCACTTTTGCATGGCTTTCTTACGAGGCAATATCAGACAGTATGGCACCTCACATGAAGTCAATTTTCAAATTTGCGTGACCCATCTCAGGCGCATGTTGAAGGTATTTTTTTTTGTTGAAAATGCTGCGTAAAATCGAGTACAATAGCATGCATAGTTATTTAAGATATATTACAATAGCTAACACGCTGGTTTGATAAGTGATAGTTCTGAGTAAGCAAAGTTTTAAATTTTCAAGCACACGATGCATATTCAAAATATTCCAACCGGAAAATCGCTTCACGTCTCTAGCCAATGACAACTAATACCTGTATGATGTGATACTGCTCGTAATGAGGATAGTAATTACAAATATTCATCTGATGTTGTTGATTGGCCAATCACCGCCAAACACACAGTTACACCTCTCCTAGCTAATGGTCATAATGGGCAGCTGATGACTGCTTCTAGTGTCCCTGGTTTAACAGAAATATGAAAATAAAAACAAAAAACAAAATTATAGCCTTTTTTGCACTGGCGCGGTAATTTCAAGTGGTATTTGGTTCCGAAAAGTTCATAAGTACCTCAAAACAAAACAAAACAAAACAAAATAGCAGCATAGTTGCTTGTGGGTGTTGCTCGAGGTAAGGGATCATTATCGGACTAGTTTGGACCATTTTATGAAATATAAATTTATTTGGCAATGTTAAATAAAGCACACACTGTGATATAATATCACGTGAAATAATAGATATTGTAGATGATGGACAGGCTGTAGAGCCTCCAACGGTAAGTAAACAAAGTCGGAAAAGCAATTCTGAGCTGAAAACATGAAAGCTGCCGGCCGAACGTCACAAACACGGAAGTGAGTACCAACAGCACCAACCAATCCACAGAGGTACTCTGCAAAAGACATGGGAGAAAAAGAACTGCTTGTTGGATGGTCTCAATGCTCCCTATTCAGAAATACGCACAGACTGGAGAGCATTATTTAACGGTCACGTGTTCTATTTTTTAGACTGAGACTGCTTCACCGGCGAGTGCTGATTAACAACAGTTCGCTCTCCATTTTTGTCAAATACAGTAGCAGAAGTTTTACAGTGGATAGAAGCTATTACCTTTGTTGTACCCTTATGTTTTGCTATTTCCAAGACCGTGTCATTCAAACGGAAGCTGCGTACCCGGGTGAGGCAAGAGTGCCATATGACCCAATAATTTTAAAAATAAACACATTTTCAATGCTAGCTCACCCCAGAGTTAATAATAGAAGAGTTACGCAGGGTGATACTTGTAACACTGATGTTGATCAATGGGCATTTTTTTTTACATTGGCAACCTTTGTTTTTGTTTACAGCACGAATGGCTTCACCTGGGTTGTGAAAGTTTCCTCTAGTTTCGATAACAATACTTCCCACGCAACAGAGTCAGTTAGTCTACTATGCTCGATAGGTAGACGGTGACAGTTCGATAGGTAGATTTTGGTTTCAGTCTGCGTAACTCTTCTATTATCAATTGTGGCTCACTCATGAAACTATGAATGGTGTACCCAGTGATGGAAAAGTTCATCAAAGTTCCCTATGACTCGCGAACTTTTCCCTTGGTGAACTTCGTGAAATATCGCGAACTTTTCCAACACTGGGTGTACCTATGCAGCATTATAGAAAGTTCTGCTCAAAAGGAAGTCTTACAAAAATAGCAAAAACATTATTTTGTGCTAATGTGTCCGAACGTTTATCCGTAGGACGAAAAAAATCTAATGGCGTTTCAATGCGTTAGGACGGAATTGAAACTCGTAGAACGAATTTAGAATCAAGAAGCAGTATTAGATTTTAAACAATATCACAACAATTTATGACTCTTTCTCAAATCCAACGGTGAAAGGTGAATAAATTTAGAAGTCATCTTTGACAGAAATATTTCATTTTTTGTTTAAACTCGTTACGAAAAGAGAGGTAATGCGCGGGTTGTGCTTAGTAGGACGGAAATTAGATAAAAACCATAGGTATGTCTTCTGAATCTTAATATATCGATTTTAAATTGTGTTTTAGAAAATCTTCTAAAATCAGGACAGTTTTTCGTTTTATTATAAAATGCCCAGAACTTTTTAGCTACACTTTTGTTCACACAAGCGTGTATGCAGAGTGTATAGTCAGTAAAGTTGTCATGTGGCACACTTGTCACAAATATGCTATAGAAGTTTATGTACGACAAATTTGAGCCATAAACAAGGTGCTATAACTTTTCGTGTGAGATTTCAAATAGCGAAGTTTCTTGAAGATTGCCACCCCCAATAATTTTGAAAATAAACATATTATCAATGCTAACTCACCTATGAAACTATGGATGATGTTCCTATGCAGCATTATAGAAAGTTCTGTCCAAAATGAAGTCTTACAAAAATCGAAAAAAAAAATCATTTTATGCTGATGTGTCGAAAATTGAAATTATTTATAATAATTAAACATCATAAAATTGAGGCATCACTAAATGATTAATTGAAATATCAATAACAAAGAATAGGTAAATATTCCCTATAATTGATCAAAAATCATCTTCTTTAAAATTGAACCTCGCACGGGGCAAAGTGCCACCACGTGCCACCCCCTATATTTATGAATAAAATTATACAAAAATACTTTGACTAGGGGAAATGACGGCTTCGGCATGACAGACTATTTTCGGCAACCCAAATTGAAACACTATTTTCACTGGATTTTCTTACGAAAACACTTCGCTGAATGCATGCAAACGATTCTTTATGCTTTCAGCTTCAATTTGACTATATTTTTACCACTGAGAAAAAGCAATCTAGCAGGGTTTTCTTGAAATGAAACGCACGCACTACAAATTGTAGCTGATTTCGAGTTGCCGATAATAGAACAGCAGATTTACATGCAGTTGAAATGGAACGGTTGCCGAAGAAAAACTGGTTGCCGACAATACTCGCTCTCACTAGAGAAGATTGCAGCTTTGTAAAAGCGTTTCAAAACAGTTTCTGACAATTCTTTCGACTGAAATTGTTAGAGCAGCTGGCAGCAAAAGATTGTAAACAAACCAATACTGCATATGTGTGCGTTCCATAGAGAAAAAGGCTATAGAAAGAAGATCGCTGCTTAGGTTGCCGAGGATACGTAAACTCTCCTATATGTTTTTAGTATTACTTCTACGTGAAGTCAACGATTTACATAGTTGAAGATGCTAATTTCAAATAACAGACTGTAGTGGTAATTTTTATACGATAGATGGAGTAGATGAAAGCATAGAGTTGATAGTTCCGTTAGAGTACGGCAGTGTGAAGATTGTATATAGATATTAGACAAGCGAGCTAGGACAACTTTTAAGGAAGGTACAAGTCGGTTTTTTCATCTCTCTTTACAAAACTCCCCCTTTGGAGAGGGATGGTGAGGGGTGTGTCCCCCCCCCCCCCCCGCCACACTGCTGTACTCTAACGGAACTATCAACTCTATGCTTTCATCTACTCCATCTATCGTATAAAAATTACAGCTACAGTCTGTTATTTGAAATTAGCATCTTCAACTATATACAAAAATGTCAAATAAATTGCATAGATGTGCATTTCAGTCTTCGGCAAGCTTGTTTTCATCAAATTTGGCAAAACCATAAAATATCAACAACAATAGTTTTCATTTGAATTCATTGATAAACATAGTTGATTTGTTATGTATTGAATAATATTGTAAAATTTAATAGTTAAATCGAGTAAACAATAACAGCTGTTGCTAGCGAAAGACTTTAATAGATTTTAATAGAAACTTCTATAAATATCCACTATTTGGCATATATAGAAGGTAAAATTGTCAAGGTGGCACTCTTGCCCCACCAGACCCTATCGTAGATCACGTTCTCGAATGTCTGTTGTCGACTTTTAATGGCATCAACGATAGTAGAGCTCAGTATTCGAGATTCAGTGATGGGGCCACCAAATTTGAATTATATACCGCAGGCATTTGTAAGGAGGCCCTGAAGATTTTGATAATATTTCATGAATAAAATGTTAAGTTGAAATTGGATTTTGATGTGGTGATTTCGGGGGTTCGAGTTGCACCCCTAATATCTGCAAACCCGGTGCGGACTGTACCCCCACTTGACGCCACGACATAATTGATAATGATGTTATTGGTATGTGGGAATTGAAGGAGCAGAGCACTGCTGGAAACCTCGGAAAAGGGACAAATAACTCGAACAAACGATCAAACACGCGAAATATCGGAGGAATACTACTTTTATTTTCGTCTTTCGGTTACAGAATGTGTAGGCTAAGTGAAAAATAGTATGAAAACGTCACCAACAACATAATACAAGATGATTCAATATACATAGTTGACTTCGTTTTATCTCTGTCGTCTGGTTCTAGGGGTAGAACACTAGTGGTCATTCTACTCCCACAGGAATCGAGTGAGTTAAATAAACAAAATCAAAATTGAAAACAATGAAAACGTCGGTAGTTCGAACGCGAAGAAGAGTGATCGAAGTATTTCATAATTTTCAAAGTAAAATCCACTGGAAAACGAAGGATTTACCGTAGTAAATTAGTTTTAGTATCTAAATATATTTAAAAAATACTGTTGCACAGACTTAACTCGTTATGTTTCCAATTATAATTATGCACGAAGTAGGCACACGGCCACTCATACCAACTCAGTGACTGAGATTAATTGACTCAGAGAATTTTCTTACCATACGAAATTTACTCAGATTTGAAAAAAAAACTAGTTACTCATAGCTTGTGAGTAACTGCAGTTTTTTTTTCCAAATCTGAGTAAATTTCGTATGGAAAGAAAATTCTCTGAGTCAATTAATCTCAGTCGCTGAGTTGGTACACTGAGGCAAAGAAAGGGTTGAATTCCATAAGAACCACTTATTAAATTTCGACAAAAGGAATCGGTATGAATTTCATCGATTTGCCTTATGAAAAATAATATTGACAATTCAAAATAAAACGAAGCAGACTGGAACCGAACCATGGACGTTAAGATTACGGGGTCTGTGTGTTGACCACTCGTCTTTCAACGCTTGGGAAAATGAAATGGTTAAAGGCGTATAAGACCTACCTCATGTTAGACAATCATTCATAAGTTTTTTTTTAAGAAATCCATATGTGTCGTTCATAAGTTGATGAAATTCTTATGTTTATTTGCCTCAGTGTATAATCGGCCGTTCAGAGATAAGTCCTGGCAAGGAAAAACGGAAAAACTATTGCAGGCATTACCAAATGATTCTAGCCATGATCATGATTCATGGCACATGAAGGGAGATTCACTCAAAATCCAACAACGTAGTTTATGGAGGGCCCCTTATCACACGTCTCAAAAGTGCAGGGGAATTACACTTCGTGGGACATATAAAGCTGGTATTGATAGCAACTCGGAAGGGAAGCATCCAGGAAGTTCAATAGTTTTGACTAATCAGAACGAAGACCGAATCATCAATGTAGATCATAGAAATGGCAAAATGTTTCCGTTTTGTGTAGGGGAAATGACGGTTTCGGCATGACAGTCTATTTTCGGCACCCCAATTTGAAACGCTAATTTCACTGGATTTGCTTACGAAAACACTTCGCTGAATGCATTCAAACGATTCTTTAAGCTTTTAGCTTCAATTTGATAATATTTCTAGCACTGGACGCAAACTAACAGGGTTTTCTTGAAATGAAACACACGCACTACAAAATGCTGCTGATTTCGAGTTGCCGATGAAAGCACAGCTGTTCAACACGCAGCTCAAATAGAAAGGTTGCCGAATAAAAAGATGTTGCCCACAATAGTCGCTCTCACTAAAGAAGATTGGAGCTTTGTAAAAGCGTTTCGAAACAGTTTTTAACAATTCTTTCGCCTGAAATTATTAGAGCACTTGGCAGCAAAAGATTGTAAACAAACCAATACTGCATATGTGTGAGTTCCTTAGAGAAAAAGGCTATAGAAAAATGATCGCCGAGAATACGAAAATTCCCCTACTTAAAATATAAATAATATGTTTAGATCATTTATTGCCCAGAATTAGTAACATGCTCTAGATAGTCTGCAGAATTACACTCAAAAAAATTATCACATATCTAATGGATGAAATCCATGTGATTTTCACATAGCTTTCCTGTGATCACATAGCAGCAAATCCCACCACAAAATCACATGAATATTATGAGGTCCATGAAATTCATATGAAAAATCATATAAAATTAATGTGATCGCATAAATGTTATGTGAAATTCAGATGAATTCCATTAATTTTGATTATGGATGAAAATCTTATGCGTTTCCAATGGAAGCTACATGAAAACTATTTTCGGTGTAGTGGTAGATCGGTTTTTTTTTTTTTTTTTTTTTTTTTAAATTTAACTATTTTTTATTATAAATTTATTTCATGGTTACGCTGGAGAACCATGCCTTTTTTGACACTGTGAGCTATAACTTTTTAAAATTACAACCGATTTTCGTAAAAATAATATTATAACTGTACTAATTATTCTATTATGTATTATGTCGATCTTGTTTTTCGTACTGAGTACCAAAAGTATTTTATTCATGTGTTTCACCTACACATTTTTTACCAAAACATCAGCCTTATACCACAAACGAAGTGACAGACGACTAACTGGCGAAGAAATCCATTTAAATAATGTGGTTCACTGTAATAGAATTTTCTTGGAAGTTTGTGCCATCATCCACCAGATGGGCTAGTTTTTTGTTTTGATTTGAACAAAGTTGATTTTGTGTACAATGATTCTTTGACAGTGTGCAAAGAGTGCGTATCATTTTGTCATTTTTTTATGCATTTCAGTTTTGAGTAGAGTGAAAGAGATAGAACCAAAACATTCTAGTACATTCGGTGAAAATGCTAGTTCCATCTAGTAGTAGTGTTGCCATGTGGTACAATCCAGTAGTAGTGGTGTTGCCATGTGGTACACTGAAAAATTGCAATAGCAGGTTAGTCACCAAAGTTTTCGAGCCGCTCCGTCTGTCACTTCGTTTGTGCTTATACATTCCATAAGACAAACCACATAGGTCCTATAAGAATGCATAAAAGGTATGTGTGACCGCTTATACATTTCATTTGACACATGAGCTTCATTAACTTTTTGCAAGGCGTCTGCTTATTAGTTGACTTATACATTTTATGAATAATCAGCAATAGAAATTTGCCAAAGGTATAAGAAGATTTCTATCCTGTCCAAGTAGCTGTCGACCTATCAAGTCATGGATCGAGGACCAACGGCTTTATTTCCCTTCAAGGCATGATCAGAGATGTTATGCCTCAGAAAATTTCGACGGCGCCAACTGAGATTGAACCCAGGTCCTTTAAAGTGAGAAGCAGTCACTCTTACCACTATACCACCGGTGCCGCTATACAATCCAAAACACTCGGGTTGGCAAGGGTTAAATGCTAATTTAAAATGTTCAAACTGGCATTTAAATCATGAAAATAGCGCAAAAAAGTTTCCGGTCTAATTTCCTGCATACCAAGCATAACCCGCACTTTCCAATCTTTTTCGAACGAGATTGGAAAAAAAATCGAATGATTGGATTTGCTAAAGAGTCACAAATAGTTGATATATTTAAAAAAAAATCTAACCGCTTCTTGATTCCAATTCCGTGATACGAGTTTCAATTCCGTCCAAACACATTAAAACGTCAATGGATTCTCTTCGGCATACGGATGAAGGCAAAACAATTTGATTAGCTAGGAGCGCTTCTTTTGTTTTTGAATATAATGGATGTAATAATTCATATTATGCGGTTTCGTTGATTTTATTTTGTAACTACCGAAATACCCGCTTATGCCGAAGTAGCTCTCTACCCTATCCCCTATCTGTAGTGAGAATAATTGTATGTACATCATTATTATTACCATCAAACAACACCCGCCAAGTGCTTCTACCCACCAAACACGTCGAAATAAACAATAAATAGGTGTTAAAAAACTCATATAAATAACCTCTCTCCCTAAAACTGTTCCTCGAAATCAACCAACTTTACTTGAAATTACCTGTGCAGCGCGTTCGAAATTTGCTTCAGTGATTGACCAACTTCTAGCACCAGTTTTTCGTTGTCCTGCACGTTTTTGCTGCCGGCCGAACGAAGCGATCGCGATTGGTTCTCGACCCGGGTGACTAGTTCCCGGAAGTGAAACTTGGTATGCGGTGGTAGCGTTTCATTATCGGCAAATGTTACGCAGCTGGACTGCAGCGAATTCAGCCGTTCGCTCAGCTGTAGCCATTGCGAAGCAGATATTGAATTCACCGGGTGCTTAAGACTGCCCTCTAGCAGCTGCACCAACTCGAGGATGCCCTCTCGACTGGCAGTTGATGAAGGGGCGGAGGACGAAGAAGCAGACGATTTTTCAGAGAGGAGAGAACTATTGCTATCGTTTGACTTGGATGTGGTGGTGGTTGTGGCGGTGGTGGCGTTATTAGATGAATTAATTGCTGCAGGACTGGGAGCTTGAGTTTGCACGGGAGTGGCATATATTGATGAAAATTTAGAAGGTTTGATCGGAACCGCAGGCTTTTTCGCGAGAACCTGTTGCGGTAGATGTTGATGGTCATCGTGCTGGGTGGTATTACTATTCGTTGTCGAGGTCACAGTTGTACTGGCATTATTAACGGCACTGATTTCGTCATCGGGATTGTTATTCAACTTGAGATTAGCCGCACTTTTCACCCCAAGCTTGGGACTCAGTTGAGAGCTTTGATCGTTTGGCGATTCTTTTGCTTCCCATAATTTCTTCAGACTGCTAATGCTACCAGTACTTTTTCGTTTATCTCCTTCGTCGCCAGTACCTCCGCTACCAGTGGATAGGTTATCTCCTGCGATTATAGTTCCCTCTGGTTTTAGCGAATTACATTCCAAGCTCTCCCGTTTCTTATCCTCCTGACTAAGTTCAATTTTTATTTCAGTCTTTTTCAACTCTATAATCTTATTGCTATCGATTGGTGCCACACTCGTGACAACAGAAGGGGAAGCCTTCTTCAGCTTCAAATTGTTTAATTCATTGTTTTCCAGAAGCAGCTTATTTGTCGAATCCGAAGCAGTACCATTTTTGCTCGTCCCATTCCGCAGTTCGCTCTTTCTAGCTTTAACTTCATTGTCACTCGAGTGATCGTTGGTGGATTGATTGTTGTTTAAAATGTTGCTGTTATTGTTGTTGACACTATTAGAATGATGTTTGTTATTATTGTCTAAGCTAGAATCACTACTTCCGGTCGTCGCACTAGAGTCACCTGTGCTAATGCCATTGCTTACAGATGTCGTCGATTCGGGGCTACTTTCAACTTTACGTAGCCGGGATTTGAAGTCGATTATGTTGCTAGTTTCCTCTTTCTTGGGAATTTGGTTCGGGATTCGTTTAGGATCGACTTTTTTAAGTTGTGCTTTGAATGGAGGCTGCGTAGTTGAACCATTGTTTTCGACGGGCCTCGTCTTCCGCAACGAACTTACATCTGATGACTTGTAGTGCGGCGCAACATCACTCGGAGGCAGTGGGGGAGGGGGTTTCGGTAGATTCATGCTTTCCGCTAGCTCACTGACTAATTGTGATGCGGGATCGGCTGACGGCTTATGATTACTGTCGACGTTTGTAGCTGGCTTTGGCACACTTGCTTTTTCTTTGATTTCAACTGCGAACTTCGATTCAAGCTTTTCTTTTAAGCTTGGTGGCGGTGGAATTGGTACGGACGGTTCATTGCTATTATGTACCATAGCATCGGCCGGACTACCGAGTGAACTACACGAATCGGTGGATGGTTCCCTCTTCCGGAGACTTACGCCAAACCTAGAACTAGCTTCTTCGACACTTGGTTCAGTGTTGGAAACGTCATTTGATGGTTTCATTAGTTTTTCCATTGGAGGACCGGGATGATGGTGAACCTCGAACTCTTCAGGTGGAGGAGGCAGATCCACTGGCGGAGGTGGAAATTCCAAATCTGCAAGCGTAGGTGGCATTGATCGTTTAGGACTGTTATTTCCTACCGTACCTCGGAATGAAGAAAACGTCATCATAGAGCCGTCGGTTGTGGTCCTGTGTCGTTGTAATTTCGAAAGACTAGCAGTTGCCGAATTGGCCATTGTAACGCCACTGGAAGAGTTGCTACGAATCATCTGTGGCTGTTGTTGATGTTGTTGGATTTTGACTGCCGATCGCTGTGCAGCTAGTAAACTGTTAGAAATTACATTGGCCGCAGCCATAGGTGGTGGAGGATCAGGAGGAACTGAATTAGTTTGAATTTGCTGTGGAACTTGTTGACTACCACCAGTGGTACCATCAGTTTGCCGAAGAGATTCTAAATACGCTCCAATTCTTGCTCCTTTCGGTAAGGTTCCATATCGATTGATTGCCTTCTTCACATTCTGAACCTCCAACGCACCGACGACTGGTTGTCCGGCTGCATTCACCGTCATCCCAGACGGCGGTTGACCACTGACCACTGGACCAGATAAATCCTTCCGAGGTGCTCCCTGTGGTAAACGTTTACTGCTACGTGTTTCTAAACCCCGATTTCCCATGATAGGGACACGTTTGAAGGAACTTTGCTGAGAAGATGACTTTTGGAAATTTCCACATGGTTCCTGGCTATCGGTATCGGTATCCGGCGTAATTTCCGTTTGTTCGTTTTCCGAATCTGTCGTTCGATTAACCAGGTTGGCGAGATCCCGGGAAAAACCTAAAAAAAATAGATAACGTTAGAATATATTTCATTTCTGCTCATTCGCTGCTGTTAGATAGTTTATTAGTATCGAAAGAAACTAGTTTCGAGCTTTATTTAGGTTATGTATTTGATTGATGAATAGTTAGGATATTCCGCGTAAAAAGTTTTGTTCATTAATTGATTGTTTAGTAATATAAACCAACATAGCTAGCAGCTGGGGCTCACACTAAGCTTATTAGATTTACTCATTGCTAGATTGGTTAATTGTTAATCTACTTGAAACTGAAATCTTTTTTCCATGGAACAAGTTATTTTGCAGTGGTTCTGAAAATGCTGTAGGTTAATTGAATTTATAATATGTGGATTTAATTTCATACTTTTGGATTTAGACTCTTTTTGGAAGCAGTGAGAAAATGAAGACAAACAAAGTCGCTTTATCAAGAACCAAGTGAATACGTTAGTTGTTTAAACATTCAAGTTAGTTCTTTGAATCAGTCACTCGGATTAAGTACCCCGAAACAGCGAATGCTTTCTGTAACGCAACCTGGCGATAAACGCTGTTCACAGATAAGCATTCGTGGTGCGGCTACTAAGCGTAACACACTGATCTTACAACCGAAATAGAAATACCTCGAAACAGCTTATCGATAAGGAAACTACTGCAAGAAGACGATTTAGTGATTGGTATTATACCGTTTGTATTCTGGTCTCCTTCGCCGGTCTTGCCGCTGTCCTCGTCCCGGTACGTTGAATCACGACTAGAAGAGAGTAAGCTATTTGATAGGAACATCAACGAGAAGGGAGACAAACATTTGCATGTGAATATTGACGGAAAGGTAAAGTTATTTGTATATGGCTCTTGATACTAACCTGGTTCGTTTGGGTGGTGCTGGCGCCGTTTTTCCACGTTTGTTGGTCGTTCTTCGCATTTGTACCCCTGGTGTAGCTGGTTTAATCGAAAATGTACTAAGCTTTGAATTGGAACCAGCATCTGCAGCGAGAGGGAGGTTAATTTGGGACGTTGAAATTATTGACATTTACCACATTACCCGAAATTGGAGTGATGACTGGTTCATGCTGAGGTGCTTGCTGAGTACCCATCTGTGGCTTCTTGCCCATTTGAGGAGTAAGTTGAACGGGTTGTGCAGCACCTTGTAGCTGTTTTTCTACCGCTTCAGTGATAGATGATTCCTGTCAACAAAAAATCTATACGGATAAGAAAAATTAGCGCTTGGAGACACACTTTTTTCAATTACCTGAAACATGTGCTCTAAGTCGTGGTGTATGCTCTTGAAGGTTGGTCTATCCTGAGCGTTCCATTGCCAGCATTTCCTCATCAGTTCGTACACCTCCGGGGGGCACCCAGGTGGCCGTTCCATCCGATAGCCAGATTCTAGCCGGTGAAACACTTCCGTTAGATCTATACCGGGATATGGCGACATGCCGTACGTTGCAATCTCCCACAGCAGCACACCAAACGCCCAAACGTCCGACTTGGTACTGAATTTGTTATACGCTAAACCTTCCGGGGCAGTCCATTTGATAGGAAACTTGGCACCGGCATGAGCCGTATAAGTATCATCTCGCATTAGTCGGGCCAGCCCGAAATCGGCCACCTTTACGAGGTTGTTATCGCCTACGAGACAATTTCTTGCCGCCAAATCACGATGAATAAAGTTTCGGCTTTCCAGATAGCTCATACCGGAGGCAATCTGGGTGGCCATATACAGTAGCGCCACGGCATCCAACGTTTCTCGGCCAGCCGAGCGAAGGAAGTCTAGCAGATTGCCATGGCTCATGAATTCGGTGATGATATAGAATGGTGGTTCTCGGGTACATACGCCTGTAAGGGAAACAACACGAAACATATGTTTACTACAAAGGAATAAGTAAGCATCTAAGGACTGTTCAGTTTATAAAACGGATAACAACAATTGTCTATAGCTTTTTCATTTTTGATTGTATTCGTATTGTTTATTCGGGACATAAATAGATTACACTAGTTTACAGCATATTTGAACTTTGTACGCTGGTGGTCATTTCCCATGTAAAATCGTGTGCTGAGTCCAAAAATTTCACTCAAAAAAAGTTTGTTTACTCAAATGCATAATTTTTCAGTTAGACTAATGGTATTTTTGAAACAACCACCACAAAAAAAAATTTCCCTTGTTTTTTGAAATTCGCAAAAAAAAATAAACAAACTATTAATTTACAACAATACCACTAATCTAACTGAAAAATGATGTCCAGTTGATCGAATGCAAATTTGGCGTTAACATAATTGATATAATTTTATTACAGCCGGAGATATTTGTATTTTAGAAAACAAACTTTTTTTAAGTGAAATATCGTTTTTTAACTGTATGTAGAAAACTACCCTACTGGGATTTTTTTGACTAAATATTAGGATTCAGCGCACGATTTTACATAAGGATCATAGGTCAAACATCGAAGTTCATTTTTTTTACTTCTATTTGTAAACTAGTGTTATGATCCAAATAAAATTATGCAACGCTTAAATTAATGATAATCAAACGCATAACTTCAGGATTAACAATAATAGCAAAGGTTTTAAATAAATGGATTTTCAAAATACCCAAAAAAAAAAAACAATATTTTGTTCTTCAATTTTTTTTATTTTCTCGCGTGAACAGCAAAGGTTTTTTTAATTGTTTTTTCCTTGGGATCCTCTTCACACACTTAGGTCGATTCCATAGTGAGGGCGAAGTATAAAAGTTATATTATAAGTGGAGCTTAAAACTTGCCGGAGAAAGTATTTAGCTAAGTAATCAAATAATATAGTTGTTACTAAAAGTGTGTGTCTGTTTTATAACTGGACAGTCTTTACATTTTCATTTATTTTATGTTTTTCACAACTTATTGTTCTTTAAAGCATTTCTACAGTTATTAATTGAGAGCTTTTATGCCAACCAATGCACAGTGGGCGAAAATTGACAAAACCGCGGCTAAATCGAATATCTCGGCTGTCAAACGGTTTCAGTCAACATGTTATACATATTCTCAATGAAAAAACTCTGCGGAATCGATTGGTTTCATTGGCCGGAGACTTTTGCGTTCCGAGGTAGAGGGCCCGAATCAACCCGAGTTCCCGGTAAAGTAGGAAATGCCACTATCTATCCACATCATTTTACACTTTAATTAACGTTTATTACTGGAAATTGATAGTATGTGGATAGATAGTGGCATTTCCTACTTTACCGGGAACTCGGGTTGATACCAGCCCTCTATCTCGGTACACAAAAGTCTCCGGCCAATGAGATTACCACCAATCGATTCAATAGAATTTTTCCTTTGAGAATATGTTGACTGAAACCGTTTGGCAGCCGAGATATTCAATTTAGTCGCGGTTTTGTAAATTTTTGCCCAGTGTGCAATGCATGAATTTGTATATTGCGTAGCAAGCACAATGATACTCTTTCCTCAAAGAAGCCGAGAAAACTTCCAACTTGCGATGATGATGATAATTGTCTACCACTCATTGTAGCACAAAAACTAAGTCCGATAGCAGTGGGCGCTCGTCACTGTTTGATTTGATCAAGCTTAATAACCTTCCTCAACATGTCACTGTAACGGTAAATTTACCTATACGCCGCCACGGGATGATAGAGAATCTCCTTCCAGCCACATGATCATACAATTGGTCAAAAAACGAGCCGTCCGACAGAAGGATACCCCAATGAGTGTGGTGAAGAGCCCGCCCTTTTTCCACGAGATGTTAATAACAGGGAGTTGACAATTTCAATCTCCTCATTCAAATCGATTCAATCCCAGCATTGTTTTGTATATATGGGCAATAATAAAAATTTTAAATTTTAAACGATCTCACAAACTTTTGTTGTTTCTTCACCCAATTTTCGTGCCTATTTGTGAACTCGTTGTCCTTCTGCTAACTGCTAGTCGCTACGAGTCTCCCGAAAGTTTCCCATGTTATTGCTGATGTGTTTTACGATATTTCGACGTCCATTATCTTTGTATGATGATCTTGAATTCTTAGTTGCGTCTTAAACCGTAACACCACCAGTGCAGAAAATGCACACTGTCTCCGGGAATTTTCTTAACGAGCATCACTCCATTGTCGTATCGCATGTACTCCATTTTGTAGCTTTTCTTTCACTTTTACTTTGTTGACTCCATGTTACCGGAAAATATATAGATATATACATTATTAGCAATTATGTGATATAACCACAACGGCATGGCCGTTCAGAATGGTTCAACGGGTGTGAAATGAGGGAACATTTAAATTTAACACGATTTAAAGTACTTCAATGTAACATTACATTTGTTGACTAACAATTAACACATTTTTCAATGTGTTATCTTAACTAATTTCTGGAAGAATTTACAATTAGTATCAATCATATCATCCATCATATCATATCTTCAAGTGATCTTAGCAAGCGTCACATTTCGTTCAAGTTTTTTGGAACTATATGTGATGAAATATTAAACGCACCTTTTAAATTGAATTGCACATAACAATGTCCAGTGTCATCACTTACTCACACATGAAATCTGTCTCGACCAACCTGGTAGAACGCGCCCTATCTGATTAGACTAAATGAAGCCCCGTTAGTTGTTGGATTATGAATTCCCAATTGAAACTTAAGGTCTTTGCCAAACAAAGGTCTTTGCCATTTTCTGCATTCGAAAGGGACTATTATCATAATGGTCAAGCCGGTTTTCTGCAAATTCTTGCAAATGCTTGCAGTGGATGGTAGTTGTCTACGTAGTTTATGAACAGCCTCATAGTAAAATGAGGAGGTCCGACGCAAACCCTAGCGCAGTGATTATTGTACGACGATAGACGAAATACTTCTCCAAGACGAGCGTCTGTCCTCCACGTTAGTGGCAGCTTCTAACAGTGTCTGATCTTCATGTAAGGGGAGAGTGATCATCACCATGGTGCCAGCATGTGATTCTAAGCCGCGATGTTTGTTCAGTGAGCAAAAAATGTAAATAAAGTCCTAAACAATCGCTAAAGATCTACCTAACAACGGTTGAAGATCAGAGTTGGTTCGTTTCATAAATGTCAGCATAATCAACGCGCAAGGATAGGAAGTAACGATAATCATAAAGATGCTTTTATGCCCAGCTAGAACGAGAGAAAGACAATGGTCCTGTCCTGTCCCTAAGAGCTTCATCAAAGGTGACACACAAGAAAGAAGTGTTAGTTTGTTTACTAAAATGAACTATGCCCATTTTGTTACGGCAAGTTTTGCTATAAGAAAGGCTCCTCGTGTTTATTAGCGAAATTCATATCAAATATTGATTAATTGCGTAGGAAATCAGTTTGGGACAGCATTTGTGACCAGCATACACCTTCCGGTCGTATGAAACAGGTCAATAACTGACCAAATTCGCCATAAAAAATTTTGTTTTGAATTTCTGTATGGCAAAATAGTGAAATTTTCGTGAACATTAAGACCGTGAGCTCCTGCACACCTGTCATAAAACCATCTCGGGCTAGGACCAACGGTTTTAGTTCCTTTCTGAAGAAGTGCATGATCAGAGATTATTTCGCCTCAGAAAAATCCCAACGACCTCGGTGCCAATGATTCCTATACTGCCTCTCTTGGCATGTTCGTCCCATATCAGAAATCAGCAAGTCGAGACAATCGCGTTTTAAGTTTGCTTCGTACCATTGCTTCTTATGTGATGTGACAACGAATTTGGTTGTCGTTCCAAACTTTTTCAGAACAAAGTTGTTGAGTTCATTTAGTATTATGAAAATATAGATGATTAGCTACCATTTCCATTGAAATTTCCATTGAAAATTGGAGACAAGTTAGTATGCGTAACATTTTAGGGTAAAGATGGGTTATGTACTTGATTTATTTATTTTTGACTGTCAATATAAACAGGCTGAATGTATACACCAATGCTGCAAACTATCATCTTGGGGTTGCATTGAACCTGTTGATTTTGACGAACAATTAAATTGATAAACGTACTAGCTGACCCATCTTGCCCCACCTTACCCTACAGCAGGTCAAGTCTCATCTAAAGATTTTGAACCAGAAAAGGTAAGGTGAAGTCGATAGTCTATTCGTGTTGTAAATGTATGTGATGAACTAGCCCTCGGCTAAAAACCACTTAAGTTAAGCAAAAAAATTATTTCAAGAACAACATGTGAAAAGGGCATACAAGCTTTTTGTAAACAAATATTCTTATGCCCATTTCTCGCCACCCATATGACACCAACGCAAACCATCAACATCGCCGGATAGGGGAAGGTTTCCCCTTCCCGATGATGTTGTTAGTTTGCGTGGGCCACCCTCGGTTGGCGAGAAGAGGGCCTACAAAGGTGTGTTTACAAAAAGCTTGTATGCCCTTTTCACATGTGGCTCTTGATTTGTGAATGTCTTATGCTTTCCTGGGCATTGTGCCTGTCACTCATATAAGAAGTTTTGCACTGGTAGGTCTAGAAAGCTATTTTTAACAGGGCCGTCTTAACCACCCTTGGAGCCCCTGGTCTATTGTTGATTGCAGGCCCCCTATGATTTGATATCAATTTTCAAATTCTAGCACACATGAAATAAAAATAGGTACTTGCGACAATCCTTTTTCGTTTAAATTTATTTTTTTAACCTGCTTTTATTTTAACACATATTTAAACCGAATAAACTAAATCTGATTATGACTCCTCATACTTGCGAATTTGTTAATATATATTTGAGCCGATTTTTGATCGAATGCGACTCAATTTTGAGTTACTCTCATTGGTCGTGCTCCAAGAAATAGTAAATCTATCTTCTATCTATCTATCTATCTATCTTCTTCTTCTATATATATAAAAGTGGATGTATGTTTGTATGTTTG